CAAACTAAAGTTTCTTCTCAGCAAAAGAAACAATCTGTGAGGTGAGCAGAGAGCCTATATCCTGGGAGCAAATTTTTACCCCTCACACATCTAACAGATAGAGTACTAATAGAGCACTAATCTCTAGGGTATATAAAGAACTCAAAAAGCTAAGTACCAAAAAAACAAACAAACAAACAAACAAATAACAAATGGGCCAACAACCTGAACAGACACTTCTCAGAAGAGTATATACAATCAATCAACAAATATATGAAAAATGTTCATCATCACTAGCAATTGGAGAAATGCAAATCAAAACTACTGTAAGATATCATCTCACTCCAGTCCAGAATGGCAGCTGTTATGAAGACAAACAACAATAAGTGTTGGCAAGGATATGGGGAAAAGATACACTCACACATTGCTGGTGGGACTGCCAATTAGTGCAGTCAATATGGAAAGCAGTATGGAGGTTTCTTGGAAATCTGGGAATGGAACAACCATTTGACCCATTTATCCCTCTCCTCGTCTATACCCAAGGGACAGCATACTATAGGGACACAGCCACATCAATGTTTATAGCAGCACAATTCACAATAGCTAAACTGTGGAGCCAACCTAGATGCCCTTCAGTGGATGAATGGATAAAAAAAAATTGTGGTATATATACACAGTGGAATATTACTCAGCAATAAAAGAGAATAAAATCATGGCATTTGCAGGTAAATGGATGCAGTGGGAGAAGATAATGCTAAGWGAAGTTAGCCAATCCCCCCCAAAACAAATGCCAAATGTTTTCTCTGATATAAGGAGGCTGACTTATAGTGGGGAAGGGAGGGGGAGCATGGGAAGAATAGATGAATTCTAGATAGAGAAGAGGGATTGGGAGTGGGCAGGGGACTAGCAATGATGGTGGAATGTGATAGACATCATTATCCAAAGTACATGTATGAAGACACTAAGTGGTGTCAACATACTTTATATACAACTAGAGATATGAAAAATTGGTCTGTATATGTTTAATAAGAATTGTAATGCATTCCGCAGTCATTTATTTTTTAAAAAAATCAATAAAAAATAAAAAATTTAAACAAGTAAACACTTGTGTCCTGAAAACTACGGAGCACCAATGAAAGCAATCAAGGTCTAAACAAATGGAGAGACATGTTCATGGATTGGAAGCATCAGTGTAGTAAACAATTTCAGTTCTTTCCAAATTGATATATAGATTTAATATAATTACCATCCAAATTTCCACTAAAACACTTTTGAAGAAGATTAAACTCGAGTCACTCTTCCTAATTTCAGTATTTATAATGTAGCTACAATAATCAAGGCAGTGTTGAGAGATCATAGATAAATGATACAGAATAGAGAATYAGGATGATTTTTAAAAAACATGCAGACTGAGGTCAATGGAAGAAATAGTCTTTGCAACAAGTGATGCTAGAGCAACTGGATATCTCTGAGAAAAAGTAAACTTCTACCTAAATCTCATACCTTATGCAAAAATCAATGCAGCAATCAGTGCAGCTAGGATAGGAAAAATTGGATTATTCATACATTCCTGTTGGGAATATGAAATGGTACAAAGATTCTGGAAAATTGTTTGGGACTATTTTTAATAAGATGAGACATATAGTTACCAAATAACCCAGTGATTTTACTTCTGAGCAGAGAAGTGAAAACTTACTATTCAAAACCTATATGGACGAGGCGTGGTGGTGCATTCCTGTAATCCCAGCTGCTCTGCAGGCTGTAGTAGGGGGATCATGAGTTCAGAGCCAGCCTCAGCAAAAGCAAGGTGCTAAGCAAGTCACTGAGACCCTTTCTCTAAATAAAATACAAGACAGAGCTGGGGATGTGGCTCAGTGGTTGAATGTCCCTGAGTTCATTCCTCAGTACYAAAAACAAAACAAAACAACATCAAGAACAAAACTATATGTAGTTGTTCACAGCAGCTTTATTTGTTCTAGCCCCAATCAGGAAAAAAACAGTTTTCTTTTAGCAGTCCTTGGTTAAACTGTGGTGATCTATACTATGGGATTACTTAACTATAAACAAAAACAAACTATTGATTCACAATAGTGAAATGAWTCTTGGGCTTTGTGCTGAGTAAAAAAATTACATACTCAGACTGTATGATTTTATATAACATTCTTAAAATGATGAAGTTACATGGATTACTGGTTGCCAAGAGTTAAAGATGAGGAGGAAAAAGATGTAAATATAAAGAGGTGGTAGGAGGGGGATCCTGCAGTGATGGAATAGCTCTGTATCTGGAGTAATTTATACATGTGGGAAATGGGGTAGAACAATTTGAACATACTGTGTCAATGTCAAATCTTTGGGTTTAATTTAACTGTAATTGAATTGCAGTTATTGGGGAAAACTGGATGAAGGGCAGAAGAGACTTCTCTGTATTACTTCTCCAACTTTCCTATGAATCTTTATTTAATTCAAAAATAAGATTTTTATTTTGGTTTTTGAGACAATCTTACTATGTTGCTGAGGCTGGTTTTGCACTCCTTTSCTCAAGCTATCCATCTGCTTCAGCCTTCCACAGTTTTGGGACCATAGGTATACACTACCACACACAGCTTTAAAAAAAAATTTGTATAAAACTACTGTTGAGTTTATGTAGTCTTTCAGAAATTTTATTTGAACTTTCATAACAACCCTGCAAATTGCAGGGATCCTGTCCATTTAACAGATGAAGCTGAAGGGGCTCACATTTATTTTTCTCTGAAGTCAGATGCATCCCTTAGGTTCATTAAAATATGGTAAATTGCTCAAGGTTACATGAGTGAAAACAGAGAATTTCATTCTTAATTGCCAAAGTCCACATCCTTCCTACTACTATATGCTGCCTCTTCTGAAGTGCTTGTGTCTTGAAAGGGCCTCACGCATGCTAGACAAGTACTCTACCACCGAACTACACCTCCAGCCTTCATTTGTTTATTGATAATTTATTTGTTTTATTTACTCATTTAACAATMATTTAAGTATTATGTTTGAAACACAATGTATGATACAGAAATGAATGATAGAATCCTTTATGTTGCTTAGAATTTAGTGGAAGGGACAGGGAAATAAATGATTTTGATACATCTTATAAAATACTGAGATAAAGCTGAATGAGAGGCTTCATTGGAGCATCTATGGAAAAGGAGAAGCATTTAACCTCTGCTGGTGTAGTGGGAGGTTAACCATATATTTTGCATATCCTTCTTGCTGAGAAATGTAGCATAGTTGACAGCACAAAGAGAAAATTCATGTAGATAGATAAATTGAAATATGTTTACCCCACATCTTATAGTTTGTGAAAAAATAACAAAAACTGATGATGAAAATAGTGGAGATAATATAGATAGGAGAAAATAATGAAACAGTAAAAGCTTGAATTGAGAACTATGAATAGACTTCTGCACATGGATTCTGTACAAATTTTGCTTCAGGTGGGCTATAGATTCGGCTTTGAAATTCTGTGAGGCAAAGACAAACAAGGAAATAGTAATTAAATAGTCCATAGATATTAGGGACTCCAAAAGAGGGATATATTTTCCTGAAATTGAGGACTAAGTGGAGTTTTTCCCTGAGAATTCTCCTAAAGAGTATTCTGTGATATATAGTGGGTAACATTTCAGTTACTTCCCTAAAATATATTTTAAAGTGAGTTCAGTGAGATTATTTCTTATAGTGTATCTGGAGTTTCACTGTATATATGTTGGAGATGTTGGGAAGTTTGAGCTGGACAGGTGAGTAGGGCTGGGGTTTTAAATGGCATTATTGTTTTGCTCTCAGTGTGATTAGTCATCATAAGGTTACAGTAGTGACTCCAAAATTGTGTTTTCAAAGAATTTTTATTATATGGTAGCAGGCCATAAGAGAAGAGAATAGGTGGCTCAGGCTCAGGCCAGCTGTGATAAGAGTTTGAACTAAGTAAACAGAACCTTTTTTCTTTATTTTCCCTTCTTATTTAGAAATTCTTAAAATTTTTTTTGTTTCACATTTTTGATAATTTAGACTCTTTACCTCAAAATCTCATAAATTAGTGTGCCTTACAAAATGCCAAAGCAAGGGTTGGAGTAAAAGAATGACTTTTTATGCTTCTTGGTGTGTATTAGTGGGGTGAAATAGTTGATACTAGGATATATCATTAAAAATAATTCATGACCTGGAGAATATTCTTGATATATAGTGACAAATTGCAAAGTTTACATTTTTAAAGTAAACTTTGTTGTTTAGGATCTGAAAGAAGATCTCTCTCTACTTATTTGAGAAGGTTAAGGTTAGGGCAAGACTAATGTTAGAATTAAGAGATTGGAGATTTAACAATGTTAGRTACTCCTCAAAGACAGACTATTTCTTCTGATTTGTTTGTTTTTGTGTTTTTACATCTTCTACAGGACACCAACTCTGTGTCTTAAAAATAGTAGGTGCTCAATAATTGACTGTTAAAGAGCTGGGTGCAGTGGCACATGCCTATAATTCCATCTACTTGGGAGGCTGAGGCAGGAGGATCACAAGTTCGAGATGAGCCTGGCAACTTAGCAAGAAAGATCCTGTCCCAAAATAAAAATATAAAAAGGCGGGCATGGGGGCTGGGGTTGTGGCTCAGCAGTAGAGCRCTCGCCTAGTATGTGCGAGGCCCTGGGTTCGATCCTCAGCACCACATAAAAATAAATAAATAAAATAAAGATATTGTGTACAACTAAAAAATAAATATTAAAAAAAAAGGTGGGCATGTAGTTCAGTGGTAGGACGCTTGACTAAGCATGGGAGAGTCCCTAGATTCAATCGGCAGTACCTCAGGGGAAAAAAATTGTTAAATATGCAAGGGTTTGTGCCACTATTTTGTCTCATAGATGTTTCTGTTATTGTACTTAACATATTTCCTTCAGTAAACAAAAATTCTGAGGGAAGGCATCTAATCTATTTTAGTATTTTTGGAATAGATGGCATAATTTCTGATATAATTGTKCAGTGGGTCTAATATGTTTTTTTTTCCTTTAAAGGCATTTGGATACCTTCGTGATARAAAAGCCCCTTTTCTTCACCGTTGATGGTTTGATAGTGGGCTGGGAAGGAAAGCTGTGGTCCTCCATAGTAGTCAGCAAACACTTGATTGATTTGGTATTTAGCTTAGTCAAGTAAGTTACTATGTTCAAAAGGACTTTTCTAAAAAGTTAACATATTTTGATAACAGTAACTAGAAATTTAATTCCAGAGAACTCTTAATGATATTTATTTACATTAGTTTTAAGACTGTGGTTTCTTTATTATACGTTTAAATAATTGGCTCTTTTTTTGAGTGGTTTGTTAAACATGAATCCTGTTCAAGTCCTTTCTTTAATGAACTGGAAGTTATCTTAAAAGACATAGGTTAGGGCTGGGAATGTAGGTCAGTGGTAGGCATGCACAAGGCCCTGGGTTCTAGMCGTAGGACTGTAAAAATAGTAAATAAATACAAAGATAAGAAAAAGATATAGCTTACATTTTTAAAAAAATTTGGTCTGAAGATGTGACTGTGAAAACCCTTGCCTAGCATGCATGAGGGCCCTGGGTTTGATCTCCAGCATTACAATAAATAAATGGCTAAAATTTTTTAAATTTTCACTCAATACTTTTTTCAAGTAGGTAATATATTTGTATGATACAAAGAGTTATACAGTTAAATCTCTTTACCCAGGAAGCAAATCTCCTTTTCTGATTACACTCACCTAGTTTCTATCCTCAGAAGGAAGCTAAGTAAAATTTTAATGTGATTATTTTCTTTCTAATTATAACAGATTGAAGACCTCAAACAGACAAATCATGGCTTGGAAGAATGCGTTAGGAAACTCTTGCATAGTAAGGAAGTGGTAAGCAGTCAAGTAAACGATTTAACCAACCACAATGAGCATCTTTGTAAAGAATTGATTAAAATTGACCAACTAGCAGAGCAACTAGAAAAAGAGAAAAATTTAGTGGTGGATACTGCCGATAAGGAACTTGAAGGAGCAAAGGTACTACTAGATTTACCACGGTTGGGGTCTTAATTCTATTTTAGACATGTAATTATTAAATATAATGGAAAAAATGACATTCTCATATTAATTGGAGGCTTTTTAGATTTGATGTTATATTTAAATATCTATACAAAGGGCTAAATTATGTTTCTCACATTTTATTTAAAAATTTTTTGCTCAAGAAGTTTTCTAAGTAATATGCAGTCATTATAACAATTTCAAAACAACAGGAACAGGATATTGGAAATAGACTGTTGCTCTCYCTCCCCAATCCTTTTCTCTACAGAAAAATCCACAAAGAGGTAGATCTATTTACTTACATCTGTTCATTTTCATGTACATTTATTTCATATTTAATGAAGGGATTTTACCCAGATTTAAATTTCTCTGCAATTAAACTTACTAATTCATTCTTTGTTGACTTCTGAGTTGTGGCTTTGGTTTAGGGAATTCCCGTCATCCCAAGAACTACAAAAAAGTTCTCTAAAGTTTTAATCCTTTTTATGGTCTTTTAAAAAATTTAGTGTTTCTTGAATTTCATTTTGTTCTAGGAAGCTGTATTGGTTTTTTCTTTCCCCAATGATATGAAGTACCATTTTTTAAACAGTTTTTTAATATTTACTTTTAGTTATAGTTTATTTTACTTTATGTGGTGCTGAGGATCGAACCTAACGTCTCACACGTGCCAGACGAGAGCTCTGCCTCTGAGCCACAACCCCAGCCCTAAAGTACCAGTTTTTTTAAAAAAAATTTTAGTTGTAGATGGACACAATACCTTTATTTTATTTTTATATTTGTATGTAGTGTTGAGAAACAGTGCCTTACATGTGTTAGGCAATTGCTCTACCATTGAGCTACAAGCCCAGCCCTAAAATCATTTTAAATAGTACATCCTATGTCTGTGGATGTATTTCTGGGCTATGTAGCCTCTTTGATTAATTTTCCTTTTCTGTGCCAGTACCATATAATTTTAGTTATGGTAGCTTTATGGCATTTTGTTAAACATTATATTTCTCAATTGAATTTTAGTACTCTGCCATAAAATTTAGAAACCAGGGATTTAAGCATAATTATAAAATGAAGACAGTTTCATTTCTTTTGCTGCCTAATTGCTTAGATGCAAGACACAACCTATTGAACTTTTAAATGATAAATGTRATATTGTGCTTATCTGGATTTTATTTATCACCAAATTTGTAAATTGGGTATGTAATGACATAATTGTTAATATATGTTGTTCCTTAATATCATTTTAACATAACAAGAGTGTGTAGCATATAATTTATAAATGATCAGACTGAACATATTAATATGGTGTTAGTTGCTATAGTAATTTGAAATATATAAACCTGGTTGATGAACTCTAGGCTTGTGAGTTTTTGTGCAGTAATCTTTCTTTCCTAGACTGTGTAAAAGATAAGACTAAATCAATGAAAAGTCTAATAGTGGGCTATTTAAATACTAAAAGTTTATTACTTTAATGTAAGGACACACTCACCTCTGTCAGAGTCTTGCCTGAAGAAGTCCTAGAAGGACTACTTAAAAGAGTAGRTAAGAATGGTTTGTCTTCAACTTGTGAATAATTTACCTTCTAACATATTTGAAGGACATTTAAAAGTAGTTTGTATATTTTAGCATTTCTCAATAATAAGCCTTTAGTTTGCCTGTTACTTTATTTAAGAATTGTTATCCTTCATTCACAGTTTAATGGTAAATTTGAGTTCAGTCTTTCTATAATTATAAAAATTACCAAATTGAGGTTTTATTGTTTTCCTTCTTTAAATTAAAAATAAACTGCACTATTTCCAAAACTGAGGGAAGCCTAGATTGGCTGAATTCCCACAACGAGAGTGCCCTTTTTAGAAGTCATCAGTTTAAAGGGTTATTTAGGGTCAGTATTCTTCAGAGAGGGCAAGAACTGTGTTAGGCTGAATTCTCTGCTTTCAAAAGGAAAAACATCTAAAATATAAGAAATATGGAAAACATCTAAAATATTAGAGCTAGGATTTCCTTAAAATATTAAATTCATGAATGGAAATTTTGCCTGGCCCAGACAAGAGTATTTCTGGAATGTTGGATGCGTTTGAGAATTGGAAAGCTATCTGAACTTTCAAGGAAGATCTGGGCAGCAGTTTTGGAGATAGTATTGTTGATGCAGGGAAGATGTAGGAAATTTTAATAGAGAACAAAATGGAAAGAGATGCTTTGAATTGGTAGAATGCCCTGAATTGAGGAACCCTCCAACCTCAGTAAATCAGTGTCGCAGATAGAATGGGGATTAGGAGATGCATGCCCAACAYTGGGGATATGAATATCAAGTGTGTTGTCACCATTCCCACATCATTGGGTGTGCTATTTAGGTGTATAATCACTGGACATAGATTCCTTGCATAATATGTGGACAGAACTTGAAACGAAAATTTTTAATTTGCTGACAAAGAGTGTTTGGGTTCCTATAGCATTGGAGATTTTGCTATAAGTACTAGGAAGTAGGGTCTGAGGCTAAAGCTGCTSTTAGTTTGTCTGGAATTGAGATAGTATTAAATTTATTTACTGGGAAGAGTTTACTTTTAGTCATATTTTTAAAGGTCAACAGAGTTAACATGTTTTGAGTATTATATTAGTTATTGCTCTGTAACAAATTATTCCTAAACCTTAATGGTTTCAAACAGCAAACATTTATATTTTAGGTTCCATGAACCAGGAATTCAAGAGTGGCTTACCTGGSTGGTTCTGGTTCACAGTTTCTCAGGAAATTGTCAAGACAGTGGCAGGATGCGGTCTTGGCTTGACTMTTCTTGGAGAATTAGCTTCTAAGATGGCTTATTTAGATGGTTATTGGCTGTTGGAGGCCTCTGATTGTTGCTAAGTGAACATYTCCCTAGGGTTGCCTGACATGTTCTGTATGGCAGTTGCCCACCCCTTCCCTAGCCAGTGATCCAAGAGAGATAGTGCCACATCTAGTGTGGTGTGCTGACTCCAACTTTTGCTAGTATACTATGTAATTTATTCATTAGTGTTTTTTTTTTTTTTTGAGTTGTTTATCCCAGCTAGAATGTTGCCCCAAGGTAGGAATCTTCACTTTTTTTTTTTATGTTAAGTGCCTAGAACAGATACATGAGTGCTTATTGTGTGTATATATATATATATATTTTTTTTTTTAATAAAGAGAGAGAGAGAATTTTTTAAATATTTATTTTTTAGTTTTCGNTCGGCGGACACAACATCTTTGTTTGTATGTGGTGCTGAGGATCGAACCCGGGCCGCACGCATGCCAGGCAAGCGCGCTACCGCTTGAGCCACATCCCCAGCCCAACTTATTGTATATTTTTTGARTGACACAGTTACTATCTGACATATATTTTGGACTGTAGTCTTTTTCTTTCTTTCATTTTAGCCCTGGGGATTGAATCCAGCAGCGCTTTACCACTGAACTATATCCCCAGCCCTTTTTATTTTTTATTTTGACATAGGGCCTTGATAAGTTGCCCAGGCTAACCTTGAAGGGATTCTTTTRTCTTAGCCTTCCAAGTAGCTGGGGTTACAGTCATGTGTCACTGTGCTCAGCTTGTTTTTTTCTTTTTGGCTAGAGTATAAACTCCACAAGGGCAGAGATTTTTGTTTGTTTTATTCAGTACATATCACAGTATCATGCATTTAGTAGACAATAATTGAATAATTGTCAAATAAGTAAAATCACTGGATTATCATTTTTTCATTTGGGCCAGTTATWATTTTATTTTTCAGAGTAGAGTCAACATTTTTAATCATTATAATACAAGTATGGGCTTTGACTGTGGCTCAGCAGTACAGTGCTTACCTAGGATGGGTGATGCCTTGGGTAGCACTGCAAAAACAAAAATGACATGTTTTTTATAAGAATTTAAGTCCACATACAAAAGTATAATGAAGATAAAGCATCTGCTCTAGTCATACCTTGTTAGGCATAGATATAATCTGTTTTCTTTTGTTTCTATGTTATTGGTTATATCTTATCCTGTCTTATCTATATTTAGGATGTATGTGTATAAATTTATTTTTTATGGAAAAATGTCCTATTAGATATTCTGTTTTGTTGATTTTTTTATACTTAATTTAGAATGGGAATTTTTACACATTATTTTTACTAGACTCATGTCTTTTTATTGTCTATGTAGTAATATAAATTAAAATATTAGAAATTATCCATTCAAAACTATTCATAAGCTTATCCAAACTCTAAGTTCCAAAAAATAGGATCTCTTAATATTTCATAAATTTAAATTTGACTGCCAGACTTCCAGAAATTTTAGAAGAGAACTTTTCTTTGATATAAAGAGGCTGATTCATAGTGAGATAGGGAGAAGGGAGCATGGGAAGAACAAACCAACTTTAGATAGGGAAGAGTGTAGGAGGGGAAGAGAGAGGGGGCATGGGGTTATTAATGATGGTGGAATGTGATGATCCTTATTATCCAAAGTACAGGTATGAAGACACAAATTGGTGTGAATACACTGTGTATACAACCAGATATATGAAAAATTGTGCTCTATATGTGTAATAAATATTATAATGCATTCTGCTGTCATATATAAATAATAAAATAAAGTGGAAATGCTTAAAAAATTTAATGAAGAGGGCTGGGGTTGTGGCTCAGTGATAGCATACTTGCCTGGTATGAGTGAGGCACTGGGTTCATTCTCAGCACTGCACATAAATAAATAAAATAAAGGTCCATCAAAAAATGATTAGAGAGCAATAGTTTCAGAAAATTGAAATCTAAAATATAGGGAGTATGTGAGTGAGCTTTTTGTTGTTCACAATATACTTGAGAAAATAAATTTAAAAGGAGGAATTGTTAATTTTGGCTTAAAGTTTCAGAGATTTCATTCCATGGTCATTTGACCTGTTGCTTTTGGACCTATTGTGAGGTAGCATATTCATGGCAGAAGTTCGTGGCAGAGGAAAACTGCTCATCTCATGACAACCAGGAAGCGAAAAGAGAGAGGAAAGGGCCAGGATCCTTACATATACTTCAGCAGCATGCCCCAGTGACCCCACTTCCTTGCACCAGGCCTTAACTCCTGAAATTCCCACTACCACATCCCAATAGCACCATTAGCTGGGGAATAAGCCTTCAACACATGAGTCTTTGAGGAAATTTAAGGTCCAAATCATAAGAGCAGGCAAGATTAGGACACATGGGGAAGTTGTTGAATTGAAAAATATGTTTATTAAACCAATAGGCTAACTTTCAGCAGAGAGCCTTATTGCCTTACATAAAAACTTGGTCATTCTCCTTTACGAACATATAGTGTAGACATATGCTACATATATGACTATAGGTGGCAGTGCTTTAAGACTTGATATAGGTTCAGTGTCGCAGGAGCGATACAAAATCTAAGTGGATTGAATTGAACTAAGCTATTTAAAGTAGTTTTGAGGAAAAGGCAGACTCTTCAAAATGGTATAATTTGAGGAAACTTTTTTCCTAATCATTCTTTATAGACTTCTTATTCAGAATTATAACTAGTAATAACATTTTGTTCTAGTTCATAGGGAGTAATTTGGTAAAATATAACCCATTATTATTTTATATAAAACATTAGGTGATTTAAAGGAACTCTTTGTTTCATCCTAGGTTCTTTTACCATTAAAGGTTGGTAAATACAGGGGTGGGTTACCTTTTTTAAAAAAAATATTCACTGTTTTTAAGTGAATTCCTGTTTTTGTTTTTGATGCTCTTCCTAATTGAATCAGCTTAAGTATCTTTAACATGAATTATTTCTAATTTTACAGATTGAACTCATTTGCCAGCAAAATAATATAATAGTATTAGAAGATACAATAAAAAGGCTTAGATCTGTAAGTATACTTTTTGAAAATATATGTAAGGAATCATTTTATCCAGTTAAGTAACCTACAAAAATAATTGTATATACATCATACCTTTTGTAAGCAATAAGAATTTTATTTTTCAAAAGTCAGCACCCCAGGCTGGGGTTGTGGCTCAGCCATAGAGCATTCACCTAGCATGTGTGAGGCGCTGGGTTTGATCCTTAGCACCACATAAAAATAAATACATAAAATTAAGGTATTGTGTCCAACTACAACTAAAACAAATATTAAAAAAAAAAAAATCGGCACCTGCTACTGGGCCACAGCAGTATCTCCATCTGAAAGAGCGATGCTTTTCATTGCTYCATTTCATCACTGCTTTCTTTCTTAAAACAACTTTTGGTTGGTTTTTACTAATGACTTTTACTATTTTTAAATGTTAAATAATGGCACTGAAAATTTTAATTTTTAAAATATAAGATGAACATATTAAATTTTTTTATTGCCTTTGGTATTATTTTTAAACCATAAATTGTTTCATTTCTTTTATTTTTTTTAGTACTGGGAATTGAACCCAGTGGCACTCAACCACTGAGCCACATCCCCAGCCCTGTTTTGTATTTTATTTAGAGACAGGGTCTCACTGAGTTGCTTAGYGCCTTGCTTTTGTTGAGGCTGKCTTTGAATTCTCGATCCTYTTGCCTGGGATTAAGGCGTGCACCTGGCCATAAATTGTTATGTTTGATTTATATGATAACATGAAATGAAAATTGCTCTGTTTAAATATTTTAATCTTATTCTTTAAAACATTTTAAAAACTTTATAAAATGTTTGTAACTTTTTCCCAAGAAAGTATTGATAAAAAAAGGTAAAAATATTGTAAATGTTTCTAAATGTATTAAAGTAAATCAGAATTCATGGAAGTGCATTTGAAAGTATGTAATATTCAGCTTCCACTCAGTTTATTCATTCATTGAACAATTATTGAACAAACTGACCAATGTGTTAAGAGTAGCATGTAAAGTTTTTTTTAGAAGCAAATTAATTTTATTTCTAAGACTTATATTAGGTTTTGGATATTCTTGGTATTTCTGCCTTTTTTGTTACCATTTTTTCTTCAAAATTAGGAGTATTTTTTTAGTCAAATAAAAATATAGCACATCCCATAATGGTGAAAAAGAAAACTATCTAATTACATTTTTAAACCTATTGATGAATAGTTTTTTAAATGTTCAGTTTTTAAAATACCAAATTTAATATTTTTAAGGATCTATTTGTTTTCCTTTAGAAAAGTATGCTATAGTTTAGCTTTAAATAATTACCTAATTTTTTCCTCCTTGGCAAGATAATTTTAGAGACTGAAAAAGCACAAAATAAATCTCCTTCTAGACTTGATTCCTTTGTAAAGACTTTAGAAGCAGACAGAGATTACTATAAAAGTGAAGCTCAGAATTTGAGAAAAATGCTCAGAAGTAGATCTAAAAGTCCAAGACGCCTGTCTCCATCTTCTCGGGTAAGTTGGAAACTTATAAATATTTTGAAGTTTGTTGCTCAAACACTGACTGTTATTCTTTGATTTACCTAATCTGGGAATACTTTGTTTTGATTTGGCATGAATTACTGTATCACAAAGATTGGGGAAAAAAGGTTTCTTTGAAGGCAGAGTGGACAACAATATTGGTTTTTTATTTATTGGTGTTTAGGAGGTAATTAGACAAATTTGGAGCAATTTGGGATGAAACTGTTGTAAAAGGGAGGTGACTTTTGTTATTTATTCTTCACTATTTCATTGAATAGAGATTGTGTTTGTATAATAGAGATTAGTACCGTATGTGAAAGAAGAACTTCACATTCTGTATAATTGTAGGGTGCAAACTGTGATGTAGAGCTTTTGAAGACAACAAGAGATCGTGAAGAACTTAAATGCATGCTGGAAAAATATGAGCGTCATTTGGCAGAAATTCAGGGTAATGTCAAGGTTCTTACATCTGAGAGAGACAAGACCTTCCTTCTTTATGAACAGGTAAACTTATTTATAAATAAGCAAATTTTATAAGTAACAACATGTGCTTTTAGAGGTATATAATTTTTTAAGTTCTATGAAGTACTTAAACCTATCAGTCAAATTAACCAATATTTGGGAATTATGTTTGTTCTTAAGATATTCCTAATGAACRGTAACATATTTCTAGTTTTATATGAGTACTCACATATACTTATACCCTCTAAAAGATTATACACATGTGTAAAAATAGTCTGATTTTTGGATTAAGAAATGAGGCTAGGGGTTGGGATATAGCTCAGAGATAAAAAACTTGCCTAGTATGCATGAGGCCTGAGTGTTGAATCCCAAGCACCACAAAAATTTAAAAAAAAAAGAAAAGAAAATGAGGAAAATGTATAATGATAGGATTTGGTGAGTTCAAGGTAAAAAGATCAGGATTTGAGTGTTAAATACTAACATTTTATTTTGGGAACTGCTGTATAATTTACTTAATTTCAGAGAGTAAAATCACATTGTAGTTTATCTCTGTCTTGTTGCTTAAAAATGCATAGCTTTTGTGAATCAGATGGCTTTTTTAACCCCAAACTGTTAAATCTCATGAATCACAACATAATTTCTGTTAGTTAACTATGTGCAGAGTTCTAGGGTTACTACTCTAAAGGATAGAAAAAATTTTTTGCTATAAGCCTGCACTGTAATCAGGGAGATAAAAGTATATAGTATTTATTTTTGTTGTTGTTACTATAGGGTAAGTGGTTTGGAYGATGTTTTAAGAAATAAAAGAAGTAAGCATTTTTAGTTAGGGTGATCAAGAAAATCTTTGTAAGATGTGGAGTTTCAACCCTGGAGAATGAATGGGGCTTCTATTATCCTGAAAGGGGCAAGAAGGAACATCCAGCCTAAAAGAATGGTATGAGGCAAACGATAAAGTAAATCAACAGATAAATAGGTCAGCTTAAGACTAGAGCAGATTGTACTTGTTAGTGAAGTAAGAGACATTAAGACTTGAAAGGAATATTGAACTAGAGCAGGAGTCTGGAAACTTTCTGAAAGGCCCAAATAGTAAATATCTTCAGCTTTTCAAGCCCTGTGGTCTCTATTGCAACTGTTCAACTCTGTTGTAGGTGAAAACAGCTGTAGATGATACATACATGAATAAATTGAAATTATAATAAAACTTTACAGACACAGAAATTTGAATTTCACATTATTTTTACCTGTTATGAAAAATTATTCTTTTGCTCCCCAGCCATTTATTTATTTATTTATTTATTTTTCTTTTTTTTTAATTGTTGGTTGTTCAAAACATTACATAGTTCTTGATATATCATATTTCACACTTTGAACCAGCCATTTATTTAAACATGTAAAAAAATTCTTGGAAATAACAAATGGCCAATGAATATATATGAAAGAAAGTTTAACATCTTTAGCTATCAGGGAAATGCAAATCAAAACTACATTGAGATTTTATTTCACTTCAGTTAGTATGGCAGTCATCAAGAATACAAATAGTAAAAAATGGCAAGTATGCGGAGGGGGGGAAAGGAACACTTATATGCTGCCCTTGACCCATGTGGGCAGCTGAATTTAAGGTCGCTCATGTGAATTTCCAGAGACACCAGATAAAACACAGATACACTTTACCTTTTTTTTTTTTAAAGAGAGAATTTTTTAATATTTATTTTTTAGTTTTTGGCGGACACAACATCTTTGTTTGTATGTGGTGCGGAGGATCGAACCCGGGCCGCACGCATGCCAGGCGAACGCACTACCACTTGAGCCACATCCCCAGCCCTACACTTTACCTTTAAACAATCTTCAGGAGGGCTTCTCCACTATCAGCCTCAGGCTCCCCAAATGGGAGAGCAAGAGAAAGTCACGAGAGGCTGCGGAGAGAGCAAGCACATTCGGAAATGAACTTTTATTGGGGGGACCCTATTCTTAGAACGTTCCATCCAAAAAAGGCCAGAAGGGCCAGGGTTATAAGGGACAGGTGAGTATAATTCAACCCAAGGGGCATCACCTATATCTGAAGACACACCCTCAACTTTCTGGACTGGAACAATGTCCAGGTCACTACAGAATATAGTGACTGGTCAAAACCTTTCACTTTAGGATGGAAGGCACGAATCATTCAGAGTGGCTCCTCACACTTATCCATTGATGATAGGATTGTAAATTAGCACAACCACGTGGAAGTCAGTATGGCAGTTCCTCAAAAGACTAGGAATGGAATTACCATATGACCCAACTGTACAACTTCCCCTTATCTATTCAATAGAATTGAAGTAAGCTTACTATAGCAATACATGCATACCTATGTTTATAGCCACACAATTCACAATAGCCAAGTTATAGAACCAGGATAGGTGTCTATCAACAGATGAATGGGTAAAGAAAATGTGGTATATATGTCTTTTTTAGGAAAATGGATGGAACTTGAGATTATTCTGTTAAATAGAGCAAGGGTTGTGTATTTTCTGTCATATGTGTAAGCAAGAGGGTAGAAAAGCAAGAAAGGGGCATTGCTCTTGAAATTAGAAGGGGCACTGGTAAAACAGAGGCAGGAGATCAGCGGGAGGAAGGAAGAAAGAAAAAGGAAAACTGGGGAATGAAAGTGACCAAGTTATGTTATGTTAATTTACGAATATTTCATGATGTTTTCCACTATTATGTACTATTATATTGTACCAATAAAACATTAATTAAATAGAAAAAACATTCCTAGCTTATAGATCTATAAAATCAGGAGGCAGGCTGTATATTTGGCTTTAAACTCTATATAATTTGCTCACTTCTGGACTGTGATGGTAGAGGCTATCCCACAGACCTAATTATGGACTCATACTTCACTTTAAAAGCAGTGTGCAGTTTCTTACTTTTAAAGCAAGAGAAATATGAGCAAAAATCAATTTTAACCTAGTGGCAACCTTTTATTATCTTACACATAATCTTTCTGTATTTCTATTTTTATGTAACAATTTGTTTTTTAAGAGAATTAGAGGACACACACACACACACACACACACACACACACACACACTGTGGACTCCTTACAAGACTGTTACAATGTGCATGCACAAGACATTTAAGGAGGTAGTGAGGGTGCCATCAGTAGAAATAAATACAGGGACCAATATAAGAGACATGAAGGAAGACTTGACAAGATTTGATTTTAGAGACAGAAACACTATGGTAATATTCACTAAACCAGTATTTTGTGTGATTTATGCCGATATCAAATTTATTCCACAAATGAAAATAATTGAAATTCTTTTTGAATGACAAAATTGTGATAATAGAAAAACTAAGAAAGCCATTGGTGGTTTGAGGAAAATTGTGACTTTGTTGTTAGATGGAGCAAAATCATGGTGATATGATCAGGTAGTTACTGCCATCAGTCAGTAAGAAATATAGGATTGGAGAGGGGAGAGAGCAGGAGCTGATATGTGGCTCTAAAAGTCATCTTYTTAGAGGTAAGTTCTGAGCCTCATGGTAAATGAAGTCTCTAAATGTGAAGGCTCTACACAGCATAGTAAATGAAGTCTCCAAATGTGAAAGCTCTTCTTAGACAGATATCCTCCCACCCCCATAATCTACAAGAGGCAAAGAGGAAAGTTTGAAAGATAAAAAGAAGACAGAAAACTAGGGTAGAAGTTGTTACAAGCACAAGGGAGGAAGGAATCTCAAGAGCAAGGTTATTAAAAATAGTGTCAGATGTTGCCAAAATATGAAGAACAGGAACTGAGAAAAGGCCATGAGATTTGGTAAGTTCAGTAGTTGAAATTCTGTAGTACCACAGGGATGGAACACAGGTTATACTGGGATGAGAGAGTGGTAAGGAACAATTGGCAATGGGTACAGATAGTACTGTGTGTGTGTGTATGGGGGGGTAAAAGAGACATGGCCTGGTAAATGGGACAGTCGGATTAAGTGACAGGTTTTCAAGATAAGGGAACTCTTGTACATGATTAAAGGTGGGGGAGACAGACAGTAGAGAGGACACTGTTCAAGTTGAGAGGAAATAATTATAATTTAGTCAGGGAGCTATAAGAAGGCACTTTAGAATATGAAGTATGGTGTTTCTAAGGAAGACTTAGCTATGGAAATTGGAAAGTAATATATCTTTCTCTGAGACTAACTGAAAAGATAGTGATCCCAATGAAGAAGAAAGAAGATAAGGAGACTTACACAATGAAGTCTCCTCTTCAGGTGTGCAATAGATTTGGGACTTGGAGGTCATGAACAAATGTTCAGAGAGTATTGTGGGCTATTGGGAAGGATTGATGGGTTTTTCTGTCAGTGTAGAAGTAGCCTAGAGATGRAAATGGTATATACACTTGGAGACAGAAACACTATGGCAATATTCACTAAACCAGTATTCTGTGTGATTTATGCCATTTTCAAATTTATTCCACAAAATAGATAAATGGAGTATATTAAATATATTTCTTAGCAAAACCTTCTSTGTTGCAATGACTTGGCAAAGACATTATAAAGCAAACTCCTATTTCAATTAATTGACTTGCATTTATTTGTATAAATGTATTTGAAAATAAAAATGGTAACATTTCCTTACTGAACAAATATTAATATAGGTTTGCACTTTAACCAGTTAGGTATAAGCTATATTATATTTAGTTTAAAGCTTGTTTTAAAAAATTATATGTATTTAAATAATAGGCACAGGAAGAAATTGCCCGACTTCGAAGGGAAATGATGAAAAGCTGTAAGTCTCCAAAATCAACAACAGCACATGCTATTCTCCGGCGGGTAGAGACTGAAAGAGATGTGGCCTTTACTGATTTACGAAGAATGACCACAGAGCGAGATAGTCTGAGAGAAAGGCTAAAGGTTTGGAATGGTTTTATCTATCTGAACATGTGTGAAACACAAAAACATTGACACTAAAAGCACTTTATTTTGTCTGTTTTTTTAAACAGATTGCTCAAGAGACAGCATTTAACGAGAAGGCTCATTTGGAGCAAAGGATTGAGGAGCTGGAGTGTACAGTTCATAACGTAAAAAAAAAAATCACTTGGCTATAACCTCAGTGGCTTTAAAACCCTTCCTTTTTTTCCCTTTGTTCAGAGAAGTTCTTTTACTTATCTAAGATAGCGTTTATAGTCCTTAAGGTGATATGTATGATGTAAACAGTCACTTTTTACTTATTTCCTTCTGAAAATGTGAGTAAAGTTTTTTGTGTTAGTTGCAAAGTATTTTATTTWAAAAAAAACTATTAGAATGTGTTCTCAGGAATTTAAGTAGCTTTACTTCCTTATTTTGTTAAAGATAATATTGCTAGTTATGAAGATATAATAAAGAATTTGAGATGCTATAAATAGATGTTATGACTATAAAATCAGAATTAAGAGAATTTGACTTTTTTCCACCAAGTTTAATTGAGTATATTTATAAAATTATCTATAGTTTTGTTATAAGTAAAATAAATTAGAAAAATTATTTTTCTTTTCATAATCCTACTTTATATGTGTAATTTATTGATGTTGGGTAACAAATAAATCCTTTTGCAGATAGTGTGCATACTGTAGTCAAACTGAACCAGAATGAAAAATGTAGACTGATATGTTTTATTAGTCTTTATAAAAAAGCTACACAATGATTTGCTTTTATTCTTACTATTCTATACCTTATTCATACAATCTTCCATAGCATTTAGGTCTAATCTGATCATCACATTAAGTAAATTTTGCCATAAACCTGGTTTGTACAGAGGGAATATGTCTCTGCAGGAAGACTGCTCTGGCTGTTTTCTTTTTTTTAGCGATGGCAGTAACTTTGTCATTCTACTTGTTAGCTTGATGATGAACGTATGGAGCAAATGTCAAATATGACTTTGATGAAGGAAACCATAACCACTGTGGAAAAAGAAATGAAATCACTAGCAAGAAAGGCGATGGATACTGAAAGTGAACTTGGAAGACAAAAAGCAGAGAATAATTCTTTGAGGTAAACTAAATTACTATTAAATAACTAATGGTTTATAGTGTATGTTATAATGAAAATTATTAAATTTTATTTCTGAGAGGATTATTATGAAGCAGCTGTAGAAACCTCAGGACACATTGAATGATTTCCCCAAGATCAGAGACTATAAATGGCATACTTAACTGGGAAGTATACTTCAAGTAATATTAACCTTACATTTGGATAATGCCTCAGCTTATCTGAAATAGCTTTTACAAAGCCCTTCCGGGTATTGAGCATATTCAATTTTGGTATTCAATTGTTTAATTTGATTTAATAACTTTACGTTCTGTTCTGCAGTATGAACAATRTAAAACAGCATAAAGCACAGGTTTGATAGTAGCTTAGAAAAGGTGGTTTAGAATATGGTGAAAAGTCATAAAGAACAATAGCATCATGTGGTAGAACTTAATTAATTGAATGTTGAATACATCACCTAACTCTTCCTATATATTGGTATAGTAGCAGAAGAAATATCAATTAAAGTAGCCCATAGGTAATATGTATGTGAGAATATATTTTTGAAAGACTTCTATCTTAGTGGTTTTACTTTTAGTATCTGTTGATGTGAGAAATAGAGGTTGTACAAATTCAGTAAGTTTGAATTYCAGTACATCTGTGAACATTTGAAAAATGGTGGTTGATATGATTGTGAAATATATTATTAAATCCCAGTATGTCCTTAATCTTTCCATGATCTGTGGCGCATTGATTGGAGTTGCTTGTCAGGACAGATAAATATTCAAATTCTTTCCCTTCACATTTTAAAAAACATTTCCTGTTTATAAGAGTATTGAAAACTCAAATAAAATGAAAGTAATAATAAAGCAAGAAAGACACAACAAAGAAAACCTTGCAAAGTGTAAAGTACTAAAAAATTTAAATCATTCCCATTTTCATAACCCAGGGGAAAATAATTGATACAGAACTGTTTCCAGCTCGAAATTGGTTTTCCTGCATATATTTCGTAGCTTTCTGTGTAATTGAGATCACCTTTGTATAGTTTCATTTTTGGCCATTTTCATTTAATCATTTGCYATAAGCACTTCTCCATGGCTTTAGACATTCTTTAAAAGCATTTTAGTAGATTACATGCTATGATAACAGACAGAGGTATAATAATTTAGGGAGCCAGATGCAGTGATGCTCGCCTATAATCCCAGCAGCTCAGGAGGCTGAGGCAGAGGAGGATCGATAGTTCAAAGCCAGCCTCAGCAACTTAGCGAGGCCCTAAGCAGCTCAGTGAGACCCTGTCTCTAAATAAAGTACAAAAAAAAGGCTGGGGATTTGGCTCAGTGGTTAAGTGCCCCTGATACCAAAATAATAATAATTCCTAGTATCAAAAATAATAATTTGGAAGATTTTTTGATGCATATTTGTCTTAAGAGTTTTGTTACAGTGAATTGACATACCATAAACTGTACCTTCAGTTTGCTAAGTTTTGACTGGTGGATGTGCCTATAAAACTCACCACAGTCAAGATAGTGGCCTATCCTTTACTCTCAGAAGTCTCTCCTGCTCATCTCTAATCCTTTATTTACCCAACCAATCCCCAGGGAACCACTGATTTTATTTCTGTTATGGAGTTTTTTTTCTTTTCTAAAATTTATAATACATGAAATCATACAGTATGAATTGTTTTGTCAGGCTACTTTCAATAAGCATGACTATTTGAGATTCATTCATGTGGCCATATGTAATTAATAATCCCTTTTGATACTGAGTATTGTTCCATTGTATGGATAGGTATGTAGACATTTGGGTTTCCAGTTTTTGGCTATAACAAAACTGCTGAGGACATTCCTAAGTAAGTCTCTGGGTGAACAAATGCTTTGATTTTTCTTGGATTGAAATTTCTAAGTCATGGTATGTTTCACTTTTGGAGAAGCAATTAAACTGTTTTCCAAAGTGGTTGTACTGTTTTATTTTGCATTTGCACTGACAGTGTATGAGTGTTTCAGTAGTTACATATCCTCACCAACATTTAGTGTACATTGTCTTTTTAACTTTAGTGTTTCTAATAGGTATATGTTATGATTTTAATTGGCCCTTCTCTAATGATTAGTGATTTTTCAGCATCTTTTCATGTGTTTATTTGCCATTCATATATCTTCTTTTGTGACATATCTCTTCAAATCTTTTGTACACTTTTACTGAATTACTTATTAAGTAAAAGTACCTCTGTTTTAGACATAAAGCCTTTGTCAGGTCTGTTTTGCTGATATTTTCTCCTAGTCTGGGGCTTGCACTTTTATTTTCTTAACATTATCTTTTAAATAGCAGATATTTTTTATTTCAAATAATTTTGAAGAAAGGTGCATGTATTTTGTGTTCTTTTTAAGAAATCTCTGTCAAGGCTAAGGTCACTGAGATTTTCTCCCAGTGTATTTTCCGARTAGTTTTCTAATTCTAGCTATGGTCCATTTCAAGTTAACTTTTGTGTGTGGTGCAAAAGTTCCCTTTTTTTAAATTTTAAATTTTTTAAAATTTGCATATGGATGTCCAGTTGTTCCAGCACTATATTTAAGTGTCTGTTAATGTTAACTATAAGAACAATGTTTTGCAGCAGATCTTGTATTCCTACACTTCTGTGTCCCTTGAAGAGCACTGCTCACTTCCCCTCTCTCCACCCACTAGCAACTACCTTTTAGCTTTTCTTTTTATAAGTGAGGCATTATGCAGTATTTGTCCTTCTGTAACTGTCTTAATTCACTTAACATAATGTTTTAGATGCTCATATATATGTATATTGATTTGCTGATTTTGTTGTCTATTTATGTTCTCTTGTAGCTGCCTTAACTTCCTTAAAGTAATTATTTTGAATTCTTCATCAGGCAGTTTGTAGATCTCCATTTCTTTGGGATTGGTTATTGGAAAATTATTGTGTTCTTTTGGTAGTGTCAAGTTTCTTTGCTTTCTTTGTTCCTTGTTCCTTTGGGTTGAAGTGTTTACATTTGAAGAAATAATAACCTCATAGATTTTACAGACTAATTCCAGCAAGGGAAGATCTTTACCTACAGGTTGGTGCAAGAGTGCTCTCTGGATGTAGTGTAGCAGCTCAGCCTCTGGTGAGGACACAGTGGTATAGTCTTCATGCAGCTCTGTCAGATAAATTTGGTGTCAACAGAGATTTCAGAGGTCCTCAGCAGCTGAAGCTGTGAATGTCTACAGCAATGGCGAGGGCTGTTGCAGTTCCTCTGATCTTGTTGTCTCTTTTAGGGAAGTTGTGCCCAAGATATCTATCTTGGCACTGGTGTCCTCTGTGTGGACACTCATGGGATGGCTTAAGGGCCCAGGTCCAGTGCATGGCTGTATATAGCTACTGTTGCTCTGGGAATGGAGATTCAGACATGTCTGCTGCACTGGTGGCTGGTTTTTTCAGAGTGGCTGAGGGACTGGAATTCAGTACATGTGGAGTAACAATGGCTCCAAGGCCCAGCCATCAACTAACTCACTATGGTGGTATCCCAGATATCTGAGGCATAGGTGCATGTGGAGAAGTGGCAGAGGAAGCACATGCAAAGGGACTGTGGCATCTGGCTCTAGACTGAAGTGGTGGTTCTGGTGTCTGAGATGCAGGCGTGCACAAAGCATCTCTGGTTTGGGACACAGGCAGGTTAGGTAATACCCTGTTTAAGGGCTGCACAACATTGACTCCTTCTTGCGGGTAGGACCGTATCAGCTTCTTCCTCTCTAGGGGGTCTATGGTAGGTATTCCTGATAGTTTATTTCCACGGTGAAAGTTACCAATGACCCTTGTAGAGCAGGTTACTGGAGACCATGGTGGCATCCACCACATGGCTAATACAGTGGCCTCTGCCTTCAGTTGTTCTAGCCACCTCCAGATGTCTCAGGTATACTCATCTCCCAGGAATACTTTCTGAGTTGTTCTCTCTTTTTTGTTTCCATCATATTGCTGTTGGTTCTTAATTGGACACTGAACCCTTCCTAAAATATATTCTTTCATGGATAGCTATCTGGTTGTTTCTTTGTGGTAAAAGGTGAAGTCTGAGCTCTCTTCTCCCATCTTATTGATGATACTTCTCATATCTTTAATTTTTTGAAGAGACTTCATACTGTTTCCCATGGTGGCTTCAACATGTGCTTCCCCCAAACCCAACAGTGAACAGTGCTCCAGTTTCTTCCTCACCAAAATCTGTATGTAGTTTTTCTATTGTTTGTTTGGTTTTGGTAGCTATTCCAATGAATTTGAGGTAATATCCTACTATGGGTTTGATTTGCATTTCCCTGATAATTGATGATGTTGAGCACCTTTTCACATACCTGATGGTCATTTGTATGTCTTTTTAGAGAATTCTCTATTCAAGTACTTTGCCCATTTTTAAAAAATATTTTTTAGTTGTAGATGTTCACAATACCTTTATTTTGTTTATTTAGTTTTTTTTTTTTTAAATGTGGTGCTGAGATCGAACCCAGTGTCTCACACATGCTAGACAAGCACTCTACCTCTGAGCCACAATTCCAGCCCACTTCATCCATTTTTAAACTGAGGGGTTTTATGTAATTATTTTGCTACTGAGTTGAATGAATTTGTTATATATTTTGGATATTAGCACTTTATCAGATATGTGGTTTCCAATTTCTTCCATTCTTTATGTTGCCTTTATACTCTGTTGAGTTTTAGATAGTTTCAGGTAGTCTAGTTTCACTTGCCTGTTTTTGGCTTTGGTATGATATCTAAGAAATCATCGCCAAGATCAGTATTATGAAGCTTGTCCTCCTTTGTTTTCTTCTAGGAACTTAATGTTTTCTGTCCTTCTGTTTAAATTTTTAATTGGTTTTGAGTTGATTTTTGTGTATGGTAAGATAAAGGTCCAATTTAATTTCTTGCCTGGGGTAATCAATTTTCCCAGTGCCACTTGTTGATGAGACTTCTCTTACTCCATTGTATATTCTTAGCACCCTTGTTCCACCCTTAGCATCATTTTATCATTGTTAAGTAGCTCTGAAATATGATTTGG